GGCGGGGCTTGAAAATTTCGGCCTTTTCTGAATCTATCCTTTCAAGCCTGTTGGAATCGGCGACTTCTGCAGAAAAATCAACTTCATTCCTTCGGAACCAAAAGCTCAATTTGTTTTCTAGCTACATAAAGGAATGCAAACGCCTGGGCCTGTTAAACTGCGTTCCCGTTGAACTCCAGTCTGGAATCTTATCTCCGCTGTCAAATGGCTTCAACACTTGCTTTTTGAATTATCCCGTGCTTTTGAGCGCTTTCAAATTGCACGGTAACGATCGGGCTGTTGGCGAAGCCCATGCTCCAAACGAGCTTTATCGGGTGATTTCCAACATTGAGGCCAACTTTGTCGGGTTTTTTGAATTCATCCCGGGCTTCAAAAAGGCTGTCATATCGATTTCGGGGCTCTCCACGATTGACCAGACGTCCAAGATTCACAGAATCGTTGGTACTCTATTTGAGTGGCTGTGTATCAATTCTGTTCTTGCAGACTCTAAGGTGTCCAGATTCCATTTGCTGGCCTGCAAACTTGTTGGCAACTGGTCCGTTTGTAATGCCAGTCAATGCTGCATGTTGGTCAATTCCGCGGATGTTTTTGATGTGTTATGTGTGGTTGAGCTGATTTCAAATAGCATGCCAACGTTGTCAATCGAAAATGTGTCCAAACTTATTGGCTCCTTGAAATCGGAACTTGTTGACATGCAGCACAAAACCAGGCATTTTGACGGCAAGAATGCCATTTCAAACGAGTTTGTTGACAAGCTTGATTTGCTTCTGACCGAAGCTCGGGCATGTGCTTGTAAACATGGCTTTATTACATCGTTGAGCACGAGTCCCTTGTACGAAAAACGGGCTCCACTCGAACGCAGCGATTCTTCATCTTGTGCTGCATTTACGGACAAAATTCTGCTGTTGGCGCAACACGTGATTTCGGTGTTGAATTCGATCTCAATACCACGGGATGTCGGATTTGGCTCAATTGAAAATACGATTCCGCAGCTTTATGTATTGTTCAAGATGCTATTTTCGGATGCCTTTTATGCCTCGCTCCACGGGCTATTAGACATTTCTCCAAATCCATGTGGCTTGCCATTGATGACGATGCTTGTATCGATGCTACACGTGATGGTCCGATTGTTTCTTATTTTTGTAAATTCACTCTCCGAGTTATCGATTCACACGATTGCCTCAATTGCAGCGATTTATGAGAACAACTTTGGAGAGGTATCGACATCATCAAAATCGGACCCCACAACAGCTGATGGCGAAGGTTGTGAAGCGCAACAAGGCCCCATGCGTGCAGATGATGGCACCGAGCTTCCAAAAGGCATGGCAGACTGTAAGGACGTCCCTTCTCAACAATCCAAGAACGTTTCAAATGAAATTGAATATGAGGAGCAAATATCCGATGTCAAGCAACAATCGGACGAAAAGCACAGTGAACAAGATCCCGAAGCAGACAAACAAAACGACATTCAGCCGCAAGCAGAAAATGAGGCTGCCGTAAGTACTAGTGAAAAGATGGATGGCATGCAGGATTGCAGAGACCAATCGGAATTTGAGAAAAACACCCGATCCGATCAAAATGATGCTCTTGACGAGGCAGAGACAGAAGGTGCTGATACTTTAGCTGCTTCACAAGAGGACCGCATTTGTGACAATCAGTTTAAGGAACAGCTAAATGAGGAAGAAGATTCCAGTGGCATGGCAAATGACGAAATACTGGAAAAACTGAACACCGATTCGTTTCCGCAGCATCTTGATCAAAGCATTTGGCAGGATGACCTCTCTTCCGATAATGAATTGTCCGAGGTCGATGAGGGTGGTGATTTTGCACACCAGGACGCTACCCCCGCTGCACGAGAGAAAGATCTTGCTCGCAGAAATGACAAATCTGTTACGGAAAAACCTGGCTCCTCATCAAGTTGCGAGAGAAAGCCTAAACAGGAAGAGAGTTCTCTGGCTAATGTCGATTTATTGGACCAGGATAAAGGTATCTGTGGTGTTGATGCGGATGATGTTGATGCGGCTATGGAAGATAATTTATGCAAAGATCGCATTTCTATGGACGAAGACGTTGATGCCGATCCAAATGGCTTTGACACCGAATCAAAAAGTCTTGATGCTGACCCAAATGCTTTGCAGGATCATACAGAGGGTATGGATGATGAGAATATTGAAGCCTCTGCCCAGCCAATGGATCCTTATCAAGAGGAGGCTCTTGCGTATGGCGAAATCCCACAAAACTTGGCCCAATTTACAGATGAAGAGAAGAGCCCATCACAAGGCACGAATGATGATATTAACTCGGAAAACATCGGCATCGATTGCAACTCGGATAACATCGGCACCGATTGCAACTCCGAGAAACAGGATCAGTTCGGAAAGGCCTCAAATGGTCAGCTCGATGATGCTTCAAACAAGGAACGTGCGAACCTGATTGATCAACTGCTTGAATTACCTCCACAACACAACGACCTGCAGTGTAGGAGGATATTAGGGGATCAGCTGGCCACGTGGAGAGACCTCTTGATGTCGCTGGAAAATTCTGCTCCAAACTCTGCACCGGAAAATGGCTCGCAGAATCCAGAGGTCTTTGAATATGATTTGGACGACCCACTCGCGTCCAATGTAGACTCTGCGCACGTTCTTTCTCAAATATCGAAAGAAGATTTTAATGATGCGCCATCCTCTTCTGCATTGAATAACCCTATTCAAGGGCAGCGGGGTAAGAGCCTTCCATTACAACAGCCATTTGACCAAATTTCTTTGAACAAAGACAATGATGGCTCACATTCGGAAGCTGAAACTTGTAACGCAAACGTTGAAGGCTTGGATTCCTCTTTCTCGACAATTGAGACTGAACCGCAACATGATTGCATTGAAGATATGGACGATGACCGTCCCTCTGAGATGGTTTTATCCCCCGGCTATAGGAACCATAATTGGCCAGAATACCTGCATGCTACGTATCCACTTGCATGCGAGTTGACAGAGAAACTTAGAATGGTCCTAGATCCTACCATTGCAGGAAAGTTGCAGGGCGACTACAAAACAGGAAAAAGGCTGAACATGAAAAAAGTTATCCCCTACATTGCTTCTGGCTATCGACGAGACAAGATTTGGCTACGAAGGACCAAGCCATCGAAAAGAAACTACCAAATCCTGATTTCGGTCGACCAAAGCCTGTCGATGGAGTCCTCTGGCGCCCCCCATCTACTTTTTCAAGTCATTGCGCTGTTGTCTCAAGCATTTTCGAAAATCGAGGTTGGCCATGTCGGTTTGGCCGGGTTTGGAGCCGAAACTCATTCTTACATCGCTCTTCCCGGGTGTAGCTCGGACAGCAACTTTTGCTCCCAATTCAATGAGAACATTGGGGACCAAATTTTGGCAAACTTTCACTTTAACGCGGAATCCACAAATCTCCTTTCTCTGCTTTCAAAATCCTTACAATGGTTTGAGCAGGCAAAAAGCGCCTCTTTTTCTGCTTGTTCCCAAATCCACTTTATCCTGACAGACGGCATATTTAATAATTCCGATCAAATAAGAAAACTCTTGAACCAGTTTTCGGCGCAAAGGATCCTGGTTATCTTTTTGCTACTTGACGCCCGTTCTTCGAGAGATTCCATTCTAGAGCTAAAGTCCGTCGCATATGAATTTGATGGCACGAAGCCAATCATGAAGATAACCAAATATATCGACCAATTTCCTGCCAAGCACTACTTGGTGATCAGAGATATCTCCACGCTCCCTTCTATCTTTTGTAAATGTTTAAGGGAGTGGATTGAAGGCATAAACAGGACCTCTGTCTGTGAAACCTTTCGCTATTAAATAAATTATTGTTTAACACTACGAGCACGCAACTCCACACGTGCGGAGGCCGCCCAAAAAAATTCCACACGTCGGGTTATTTATTTTTAGAACAAAACTCATTCATTTGGGGGACAAAATTCATTCATTTGGGGGACAAAATTCATTCATTTTTGGAACGAAATAACTTTTCCTGCTGCTGATATTCTTTTATCAGCTTTTTTATGCGCGATTTTGGCAATTCCTCCCCTGCAGCATCATGTGTAGGGATTCCCTATAAATAAATTCAAACGCAGTTCCAACCTGTTCGTCAAATTTTGAATACAAAGACAGATCCTTGAACATTTCCGAAGGGCAAATTAGTGCTCTGGTATGTCTTTGTGCCTGGCGCTGTTGAGATATGGCTGCCATTTCTTTCTTTTTGTGCAGCGAGGCCTGCATGCTCTACGTGATTTTAAACTAGTCAAAAAACCTGCTCCTTCTCTTCTTTCATCCTTTTTAAAGTATCCTGGTCAAGGATCTTTACAAGCGCAGCTAGATGGCCACTTCCTTCAGTGGTCCTATCCTCCAAAATAACGCCAAGATCGGGGCAACCATTGTCTCGAAGCTGATCGCACAATTCGAGAAGCATTTTTGGACTGATTTGCTGGCCTTTCTGAAGCGCTTCAAAGGAGAGGGCCCTTAGCTTATCCCTGAAGGATGAAATCAGGTGTGCAGATTTGGCAAATAAGGAGCTCTAGTTTAAAGTAAGCATTGATGGGAAATGCCATACCTGCGACACGGTGCATTGGTCGTTAAGGTTCGCAAAACTAACCCCAAAGGCCTTTAAAATCTTCTCAATATAAGCAGAGATTTCACTAAGCAATTGCGAGTAAACGGACGCATCTCCCTTGTTTTTCAAGTACACTCTGCAATCGCTCATCAGAGCGTTAAGCGATTTCAAGACAGAGGGCGTATCAAACGAGTCGCAAAGGGAAGCATGCACGGCTTCTTGGCAAGCAAACAGAGACTGCGACAAGCTTTTCTCTTCATCGCCAAAAAACGATACAAATTGGGAGTCTTCTCCAAGGCCTCTAATTACCGCATCAACCTGTGCAAAAAAATTAACAAATGAAGCTTCAAGAGAAACAGTCTCCAACATCGAGGTCTCTTTGTAATCAAGAGTGGAAGACCATGTATGGGTGAGGAAAAATAATCTCAATTGACGAGAGGTCCATCTAGACAAAGCTTCCTATGATAAAGTTGATCGGATCCAGGGCACCAACCTTGATGGTGATGAAATTTTTCAAACTCTTGGACATTTTTTGCCCCTCAATGTGAAGATGTCCTGTGTGCAGGAAATAATTAACCCATTGCTCACAATCGTACTGTGCCTAATCGTTAATTGCTGTTTTAACCCGATGGACTACCTCTGATTGAGCAAGCTCATTGTCATGATGCGGGAAGGCAAGATCAACACCACCGGAATGGATGTCAAGAACACCAGGGATCACATCTCCGGCCATTGCCGAGCATTCAATATGCCATCCGGGGCGACCGGGCCCCCAGGGAGATGGCCATACAGGCTCTCCTGCTTTCGAATGCTTCCAGAGCGCAAAATCGGCATTGGAACGCTTGCCGTGAGATAAATTTCCAAGAGCGCCCTCGCCCTCTTCAAGGAGCTTTTGGCGGTCAGCAGACTGTGGGCACAGCTTTGCATATGTGTGCTTTGGAGAGTTGTTAAACTTCAAAGTGTCAAAGTAAATTGAACCATCGAGCTGATACCTAAAAATAACAGGGCATTGAAAGGCTACCCGTAGCCGTTGTTAATAATTTCCTGGATGCAAGAAACTATCTGCGGAATGTATTCGCTTACGCGAGTAAGCACAGCGGGCGGTAGCACGTTCAACGCTTCCATATCATCAAAGAACTCTTTTTCCCAATACTCTGGCAATTCCTTGAATATTTTAGGATCGGAAAGAGTATGTCCATATTGCGAGTCCAAATAGGAGCCCAAAAGCGCGTGAATAGATTCGGGGATGGTGGAGTGTTCTTTTCCTTTGACAAACGCAAGGGCATCAATAAGAGCCTCAAGAAATGCAGGAGGCTCTTCAGCAGCATTTTTCGCTCCGTGTGAAAGCAAAAACGAGCGAATGGACTCGGAACAAGTAAACGTCGATAATTTCGAAAGATCCACTTGATCAGAAGATAGAGCAAGTCGGGAAGAAAGATAATGCGCTACAGCCTTTTCGACTAGCTTTACGATACCACTGGGAGCAAGCTCAGGCTTTTCGGCCCCGGACAGCTGGGATAAAAGTTGGGATGTAAGAAACTCTTGACGGGCTCGAAGAATGATCTTATCATCGACATCCGTGATGTTCATTACAAACTGGATGTTGTATCCAAAGTAGTCCGTCATAATTCGCCGAATGATATCAATGGTCACATAATTTCTGCATGTAAACTAAGCTCAAAATGATACCTTGCATGGCCCATATGCGATGCATCATAGACTGTCGGTCCGCAAGAGTACCACCTGATCAGCGCGTCGGCACGTTCGGGGATGAATTCGGTCTTTTCTTTGGCAAGCGTGTTCAAAATTTTCAATTTCGGTTGCATCGATTTCGAGGTTGTTGGCATCTTCCATTTGCTTGTGGCCATTTTTGACGTGGTGGAAAGCGCTTTCGACACGGAAATATATTTGAAAAGTTTGGGAAACAGCACTAATGTGATGATTAAGCTTACTAATCTGCAGATTAAACTTGCTAATCTGCGGACTAAACTTACTAATCTGCGGCTTAAACTTACCAATGTGCCGATTAAACTTACTAATGTGCCGATTAAACTTGCCATTCGGCATTTGATGCCTCTGAATCTAAAGATGCTCGCGGTTTTATTCAATATGATCGACACATAAAGCAAGCAAATTTGCTTTTTATGAACATATGCCGGCGTTAGGAACCGAACTTTTCTGCTATCCCCATTTTAAACGGAAGATCTTTAAAAATAAAAGAATCAAGGGAGCTGCTTGCAAGCGTTCCTGATTCCAGGGCATTTGCAATGACATCGTCTGGGCGTGTGATTCTATCGCACCTTGAATATCCAGGACGTATCAGCAACAAGACAATATAAATGTCGTCCGAGTCTTCAATAATATTTACAACAGGCAACGAAATCTTCTTTCCCAATACACTGGAGCAATTTTCCCTGGCAAGTTGTCGCTCTTTCCATCTCTCTTTGTCTGGGACAGATAGCTTGGCAACGATATAAACAAACATGTTGTTATGTCTCAGCTCTTCCAAAAAATTGAGCAAGTTATTAGATGTGTTCATGAGCATAAAAAGACCCGATCCCGGTATCAGTTTGTCGGGAATATAAGCAGGGGCGCTCATCCGCCGAGCCGCTCTATTGTTCTCAAGAATGTATATGATGTCTTTTGGAGAGTGGCTATTTGCATCCAACAAATCTACATTTGCAGGGAAAGAGCCAAATAAAAATCCGGAAGAAAATCTATAATTTAGCAAACTTTCAGGAAAATGGTCAAGGGGCTCTTTAAATACCAAACACACACAGTCATGGAACATTACAACAGCACGTCCCGGGGGAAGCAATTTATTAAAATTTAAGCAAACCCCTTGATTTAACGAAATTGCACTATGGAGATGTTGCATTTGGCGAGATCATCATCGGCAACACCAGCAACATCGCGTCCTAGTGATGGCGGAGAGCAGAGCAGGTCTTATTTAGGAATATCATTTTTCCTGGATAGCCTTCTCGATGTGTGTAACGGCGCTTCACCTCCAGAGGAAGTGAACGTGCCTATCATTTTGCATATTTGGCCAAGGGATTGTTTATAAGAAAGCCATTCTTGTCTATCGCGTAGCGATGTCTCCAGAAGGGATGACTTTTTCTTTTCTAACTCATTAATTTCGGTGAGAATGGCATTTTTTGTGGAAAGAAGTTTGCGTAGTGTAGCTTTGACCCTGTCATAATCATCACCCAGAAGAAGGATGCCGTAGTCTGGAAAGGCAAGCTCCTGCGGAAGGACATTGACAGGGCAGCCCTCATCTTCATCCACCATAAAGGGCTCATCACTTCTGAAAACAACACAAAGATCATTTTCCATCGCATTGTGTGGTTCTTGCTGTGGATTTCCCCCAATGTTTTCGTTGCCATCTTCGGCTCCTTGCCCAGGAGAGATGGTGGGAACCCCTTGCTCCTCTTGCTGCTCCTGCTTGCCAGTATCGAATGCAATTCTGGAGACGTCGTCAAGAAACTCTGAACCAATCCACATTTTTCTATTGCATAAGATGAGCATGGCTGAGATACCTAAACGAATGGAGCTCCTCAAATTGGGATTTTAGCAGCATCAGCTTATACTCTAAATCGGCAATGGTTCTTTTCTTCTCGGCCAATAGCATTTGAAGCTGTTGCATTTGGCTTCGAAGGTGGCGAAACTGGGCCATCTTTGCATAATGAGACGATGAAAATTCAATCAGCTGGGAATGGCTGAATTTCGACGGGAAGCACACTGGGAATGACATTTTGGAATTTAAATTAAATTTGTGCTCGTGTCAAAATTAAAATTCAAGAATGCAATTTTTTTGCATTGTAGGACCCATGAGCAGAAGAATTTCATCATCAAAATTTTTCTCCAGAGAAATCGACTCGGATACTTCGTCCTCCTGCTCATCCTCATCCTCTTCGTCAGGAGAGGATGAAATGGAGATGATGAGCGATTTCAGCCATTCGGAAACCATTACCAACCTCTGCGCCAAAGTTGAATCGCTTCTTAAGGTTGTTCCGATTGCCAATATCCGCTGGCCAATAGTTAAAAAAGGGGTTGAAGATATGCAGAAGGCTGTCAATTCTGCGTCTTCTAGCAAGCCTCTTGAAAAGAGCCTGATTGACCGGGTGGCAAGCCTTTTCATCTCGCTTGAAGACGCCCTGCAAGCCTCAAAGGCCATCGGGGGCGGTACAGGCTCTGTGGGAGTAGCCGCAAAGCAGGCCTCGCTGCTCTTATCTAGACTGCCGCTACTTAAGCCCTCAGTAATTTCATCCTCGCTTTTGGCTTCTATTCGCTCTTCTTCCAACTCCACACCCAATCCCACTTCTGATGATCGAAATATGGGTGAGTTTTCCGAGGGCGATGGCAATGATTCTGAATATTCATCCGATTCGTCCTATTCTTCATACTCCTCCTCCTCTGAAGATGAGCAATCGTTTTCCGGCTCCTTTTCCCGAAACACAGCCAGTGCTGCGGACAAGTGGAAGAAAAAAGACTTGACGCCTTCAGCCAGTGCTTCACAAACATTGGCTTCTTCCATTAAAAAGCAACCTCAGCGCCCACAGAATATACCAAAACCCGATGGGACACACGCACAAGCGGAAACAGAGCATCACCAAATGTCGTGCGAAGAGCTGACACCGAGAGAAGCGCTGACGCCTAGCGAAGGTCTACAGAGGTACACACAGATTTTAGCGACTCGGGGACGCAAATCTGCAGACAAGGCAATTCAAATCAAAGAGCTGGAGGCCATCTCTTCCATCGTCGATCTCTCTGTGATTGATAAAATTCAAATCAAACTGACTCTCCTTTCCTTTTATTTTGAACGCACCGCATCTGTCTCCGCCGCCGCGTGGATGAACATGCTCGTTGCTGCGCTTTCTGAGCTGATTGAGCTTGGTCTTGGGTCAAAAGCCTCTCTTTCCTCAACCTCAGAGCTGAAGGATATTTCTCTTTCCGCTTCTAGCTCGTCGCTTTTTGCGTCATTGCTTGCCTCTGTGCAGCGCCTGGACGATGAATATAACAACTTACTGCTTACTTTCCCAGCCCCCAGTTCACAAGGCTCATCGGCGATGGCGGCAGCCACCATGGAGAGCTCAAACCATCCCCTTGAATATGCAGAACTGCTCCGTCTAGAAAGACCGCTTTATTTGCTTCTTGCAAAAATGCAATCTCTGTGTGCGTACTTTTTTGATACCAAAGAGGAAGCCCGCGAGGCAATCCATGACTTGACGCTTCGTCGTTTGGGCCACCTCTATCTCAAGTCGGATCGGGGAATCAAAAGAATGGACACCCTTGAAAGCGGTGACATTACTTTAAGTGCTGCTTCTGAGTCCATGGCTTACAGGCTGCTGGAGATGTCTGGAGAGCCTGCTGTTGGCATATGCTCGACATCTGGAATGTCTCCCGTGCCCGCACCTCTTCGTTTGGCCGCTTTTCTTTTACTGTTGCAAGAGGATGTTGCCGAAGTCAAAAGAGCCCGTACGCTTTTATATCTTGTCTCTTGGATTGTCGGCGACGGATGTCCAATATCCGTTTGCTCGCCTTTTCTTCTGGCAAAAGGTTTGCTAGTCGGGTCGTCTTTAAGCGAATCCATTATTTGGGCCGATTTGCATACCCAAGTTCTTTATAATAGGACGCTTGCCCTGTTGGGACTGGCTGCCTTCAAAGAGGGCCGCCTCAAGGCCAGTATGGGCCTTCTGGGCGAGCTTATTGCGTCTGGTCGCTGTCGCGAGCTCATGGGGCAAGCGCAAGGCGGATTTTCGGCATTCGAGGATCCAATTACTGCCAGCTCCAGAGCCACTACTATGATGCCATGGCATACTTGGATCCCCACCGAACCTCTTGAAATGGTATACCTTCTATCTTCGGTTTTGGTTGAGATCCCGAATGCCATCCTTAGGGGATGTGTTGGCGGATTCCAACAACAAACTTCATTTCCAAAGCCGCTCCGACGTCTTCTTTCTGAACGGACCATGGCCATCCAAGGAGCACCAGATCCGGGCTCCGGAGCCTCCTCCCGCGACCTGATTGCTGGAATCGCTCGACTTATCCTGGCAGGGGATTGGAAACATGCAAATGCCCTTATTGCCCACCTGCGCCTTCCTGTGGTTTCGGTCGGAATTCTTTCAAATATCAAAAGAGCATCTCTTATCGCTTTTTTTGGTAAAAACGCATCCTCGTGGACGTCTTTGGATGTTTCGTCGTTTTCCGAATTTTTCGAGATGGAGGTGGATGAGGTTTTGGGCTTGATCAAAGGATGGATATTTGAATCCACTTCAAATGGCGTGTCATCTATTGTGGAGACACCTTATTTGGATGCCGATCAGAAATGGGTTTATGCACATAAGCAGTTCGCAACAGCCGACAAAAGTACTGATTCTGCGAAAACAGATAAATTTGCCATGTGGACTTCAGGGCTGCAGTTGGCCTCCACTGTGTCTATACTCTCAGAAAAGCTATCTTCTCTCCTACAGGAGAACGAAAAATTCTTCCACAAACGGGGATCCTCCTCTGCAGACAGTAATAGTTCCTTTTCTCAGAAGCACTCGGCAACTTTGAAATCAAAGCCTGCATTTTAATTAAATTTTAACTTGGTGTATTGAAATAAAATTTAAATGATGTAATCATCAAATGAACACCACAATGACGACGATGGAGCTGATCACGATGATGAAGCTGATCACGATGATGAAGCTGATCACGACGATGACGATGATGGCAAATGGGCCAGGATTCACCGCCGCTATTGCCAGGGCATTTCAAGTTTAAAGCTAAAATGCAAGTTTGGGTTGAAACCGGTGTAGCTCGGTAAAATTGCGTTCGTAGCGCCATTTATTTTACCATTCGAAAAACATGCCCACTCCACATTTTATCGTTGGCAACGAAAGCTCCGACTTGGATTCCATTGTATCCTCCATTGTGGTGGCCAAGTATGGTAACGAGCTTTTCGGTCGTGTCGGCGATGTCGACACCAAACATATTGCGGTGCTGGTCACACCTGGAGACATGTTCTTTTTTAAAAAGTATTGTTCCTATGTTGTTGAAAATATAATGGATGTCGATTTAACGGATACTTCTGAAATCCTTTTCATCGATGATTTCATGGCGACCGCAAAATGCTGCGATTCCATTTGTGTTTCCCTCGTGGATGGACCGCAAATTCCATTGTTTCTCCGGCTCTTTAATTACAACTTCCAAGTGTTCAACATTATCGATCACCATTGCTTTGATGCGAGTGCACGCTATTTGGGTGAGTGTGTTTTTATCGATCCCTGTGCGTCAAACTGTACCAATGTGTTTCGAGTCATGTGGGAAAAGATTTTCCATAAAAACGCATCGACTAGCACATTGGAGTCTATCTTTTTTGAGCATCCTTCACATGCAAAGCATCGATTTTGGGAAAATCCACATTGGTTTGCGGAGCTTCTGGAGGCCAAAAAGGAGCCTGTTGATAGGGTTCTGCTGGCACTTTTGTGCGTGATTGTTGTGGACTCCATTGGAATGGACATGGATGGCTCCGATAAGGTTACTATCCACGATGTAAAGGCTTGTCTCTCCATTCTCCAATATCTTCGGATTGGAAAATTTATTTCTTTGTGTCCAGAAGAATTTGAGCAGCCATTACTATTTGCGTTTGTAAGGGAGAATCATCTGCAGCTCTTCGGCTCCATATTTGCTCATCTCAAGGAATACTCGTCTTTTTCGGCGACTGCGTTGCTTGTATCGCCCCAAATTGTGCTGCAGCTTGACTACAAAGATTATTTATACGAGTTTCGGGATGCAAAAGAGCGTTTTTTTGCGTACGGCATTTCCAGTATTTCTTGTTCCTTGTACGAGTTCGTTTCTGATTGTAGCGTTGAAAAAGAAACCGCCTCGTTTGCGGACTTTTCCTCAAAGCTAGTCGCGCACTTTGCGTTGAAAGCAAAATTAATTCCAAATTACTCGTTTCTCTTTGTCATGACCTGTCAGTCGAGAGAGATCATGACCAATGACAGCTTGATTGCAGATGACGCCAAGGACAGCTTGATTGCAGATGACGCCAAGAGCAGCTTTATTGGCGCAAGACAATTGTCTTTTTGCTCGCCTGCCGATTATTTTGGAACCTTGGACATTAACGATGCTGCAGAATGTGTTTTGGAAAATTTTGAACAATTATTTCCTGGGCTGATTTCGAATTTGGAGTTGAAATTTGTATCTGCTCTTGTGGCAAATTCGTTTGTCACGGTGTCGTTTATTCAAGGTAAATACAAAATGTCCAGGAAAGCCATACAGCCCGTGATCCACGAATCGATTGGCCATAGAAGTAAACCACATTAGCGAAATTTACTTGGCCTTCGCCTTCCCCTTTCGCAAACTCTATTTAAATTAAAAGAAGCTTTAGCTAATTAGATGTTAGGATCCTTAATTGATCATAAGAGACCAATTGAAATACGCGTATTTTGCCTTTGATTCGTATCTTCCTGGTTTTTTAACTCATATATGAGGGGACTGATTCTTCAGCTTTCGGCACTTTCTCAGGAAGTTTCACAGGCAGAGCATGAAGATACAATGGCACACCAGCAAGATTTTGGTACCCAACTTCCAGAGAAAAAGACTAGACCACTTCAAAATGAAAACACCGTTGCAAACATCGATCCAATGGAGCACCTTTCAAAAAAGGAACTAGTCATGTTACTTGACAAATCGGGTGAATTTTTCAATCATCAAGACGAGGATTCGTTAAAGTCGATTCAGTCAATGTTTGCACTTCATCATGTCGAAAACGATGGCGAAATAAATCACTCCACTCCAACGTCCATATGCAACAAGGCCGAAAAAAATCGATTGGCCCAAAAGGCATATCGAAAACGAAAAGCAGAATACATAAAGATCCTCGAAGCAAGATCCTCTCTTTTATCGATTCTAGAGAGCGAGCTGAAAGAAATACAAGACCAGTTGTCTCGCGTAAACAGCAATTTATTCGAATGCTATAAGGAAAGAGACTTGCTACTGGAGGAGTTAAATGCATTGAAAAGGGAAAAAAAATGTAAAGCTTGCTATTGCAAGGGGCATAAGTACTGTTTTAAGGACAAGTGCCCTGGGAAAAAAAATTCCGATACCTCGAACGGAAGTTCTGGAGATTCGAGTGACAGATCATTTGAATATTCTCCTTATTTGGATGGTGATTTTTGTGCACCTTAGTTTTTATGTAGAATTTTAATGGCACGCCAATAAATGTTTGGACAGGTGTTTTGCATGGAATTGGCACTTGGATGCATCGATCATGTACATGATGTTGCAACAGATTTCGAAATGGCCACTTTTGTAAATTCCATAGTGGCCCTTGTAAAATTTTATTTAATGAAGTCAATGGCTAGGGCCAAGTTTGAGCAGACAATTGACGAAAACGTAACCAATGGCCATTCAAAGGGCTCTAAACTATTAGTATGACCATCCTGAGCTTGTTAAACGACACATTATCCAGACTTTGAGGAAATTTGCCTCGTTGGCTCCGTACTTGGATGGTTTCCAAACAAATGGCATTATCCCACACTTATTTACTATTGTTGCTTTTAGATCCGCATGCTCGTTTAATTGTGGGCACCCTGACGGTGGAGAACAACGAGAACACATATAGCATTCCGGCCTCCATTTCGCTTTCCTCGACATATCCATTTGGGGGCGATGATGCGGTTCCTGTGGTCCTTAAAGTGATTCCCACCCCTTTGATGAGCATAAACCTGGATTGCCCCTATATTTTCGAAAATGGAGTGTTCAAATACAGCCACCCATTCCTTTGTGAAGGAGAAGATGGCAATCTGATTATCCAAGTTATTTCAGAGGCTATAGCTAAATTTGCTGCTATCCCGCCAGTGTTTGCTATTGATGATAGCGGCCAACGTGAGCAAGTCGCTTTTGGAAAAGAAACAGACCTCTCGCCTGTGAGTATTGAACATGGTCTCTGTGTGGCTGAAGCAGACGAAAAAGAGGAAAATCCTATGCCGGAGAAAGAGGAAAATCCTATGCCGGAGAAAGAGGAAAATCCTATTCCGGAGAAAGAGGAAAATCTTTCCTTTGAAGAAATTTCTGGCTCCTCTTTTAATTCAGAACATAGAATCAAAGGTAATTTTTATGCCCAGCTTATGGCTGAGCCTCCAGACCTCGCTGCCAAAGACATGGACTATAGGAACATTCCAAATTCTTCAATTGATGAAGCCATTAGACTCCTTTCAGATAGAATATTTTCCAGAGAAGGTTGCATTGATGACCTCGTTAACGCAAGTTTATCTTTTTTGACTCGATCTAGGAGTTACTTGTTTGGACCAAAGCAAAGTTCTACACCACCCTTCGTTCCACTTGAGATTGGAATTTCTTTACACTCCAGCAATAAAATTTAACGCTGTTTAATGAAAATAAATTATCTGGCTATTTAAAGTAAGCCCCAAAAAGGGACACCAACTTTTGCAGTATTTCAGAGCGGATGAAATCCGCATCGACCGGCCCTTTGACCGATATTCCTATGGGGTGTGTGATGAGGCTACCCCCATGGAGCGTTTCCGAATCGTAAATGTCAATGGAAGAGGGGACAAAAAGTGTTAGGGGATAACAGGAAAACTCCGTCTAGGGAACAGTAAATTTAAACGAGGATACCTTTATCAAGTTGGAAACAATGGAGAGCGGATTAAACCCCGGGAGCATTAAGGATGATAGAATATCCTCTTGGGTTTGTTTAATCCCCTCGATGTCACAAACAATTGACTCCCTAATGTCAGATAAGAATTTCCCCGATTCGAAGGAAATAGAAAAATCAAAAAAATCGTTGACCTTGAACATTTCCAAAAGCAGTGACTCGGAAGGGAGGGGCCTTTTTGGGGGGGATGTAAATAGCAGGGATGCAACTGAGAGAGATTTTAAGGCCAATTGAGAAATAATTGAAAAGTCGGAGATGGAAACGCCAATTTTTTCCAAAATAGGCGCATTCTCCTGCTGACCTAGAAAGTGGATTGAATTGATGAAGGCTGAAGTTGGTGAGGTAGGAAATGTCCCCATACTCTGAGATGTTGTTTTATTTTTGCTTGATGGATCAAAAATACTGATTTGGTGAGTCTCCTTTGCCGATTGGGCACTGTCATCCTCATTTCGAGCTGGCACCATATTAGATTCGATGACAATTTTTTCGACAGCTTCGAATGGAAAAAAATCGCTCAGCCTTTTATTGGAAATCCAAAGTAGCAAAAGCTTTATCCCATCAAGAATAGGCTTTGGATGCATTGCATAAATAGAGTTTTTCACAAACGAATCATGAGCTAGTGCTTCCGTGAAAATTAGAAAACTAAACTCGTTGCACTTTGACATCCAATTTGCATTTGTTTTGAAGGGGAAATGATCGCTCAATTCTCTCCACAGAGAAAGATGAATTACATCCTTCTGCAATGTTTCCTCTTTTGGAAGCAGACGGATAGATTTGTTTTCTAAAGAAAGCCATGTTGCCGGTTGGTGAAAGGCGAAACCAAGGTCTAGGTAGCACCGGAAGACAAATCCGCTGCAAAATACATCCATAAAAGAGGGTCCGGCACCGTTTGTTGAAATTGACGGAACCAAATCTGGCGTTGTGCGTTGGATCCCAGCACCAAGATTGCCCAAAAACGCGGTAGCCATGGCATGGAACGCCTTTGGCTCCGTTGGCCACCTGTTCGATGTTTCTAGTATTAAAAGCACGGTGTGCACAGGAATGAAAGCCTGCTTGACATTTATATTTTCTTTACACAAAGACAAATACGCACTAGGGCTTGGGAGGTGTGGAAAATCGGTGTAAATCGAGCCCCTCATGGACGAGGAGATTGGAAGAATCGACTGGATAGCAAGCGAGCTTTCCAGGCCCATAATAGATGTTTTTAGCTTTGAAAATGAGCCGTTCAAAAGCGAGGATCCATCCGCTTTATCTAATGGCTGCGAAAGGACATCACTTAAAGGCAGCAATTCCAGTCCACAAATCTGTATTTTTCCCGGATCCAGCTTTAAATGCACCTCCATCATATGTTGAACCATGGCCTTCAAAATTTTGCTTCTATCGGTTTTGATTTCAGGTGCATCCCATACAACACATTCGATGATGTTGGTATTTTGGAACTTCCTCAGTTGGCTTTTAGAAGGCCCCCAAAATTTCCTAAAAGACTCTGCTGCATTTGGATTGTCTGAAGGACTGGGCCCCTTATCAACAAGCCTAAATATCTGGTCCGGCTCGAAGAAAAGACCAAAAGCAAGTTTTTTGGAGACCTTGGCATTTTCCAATTCACAAATGCCTCTTACCCGGCTGGATAGCCCATATTGAAGCACATTTAAAATGTATTGCGAAAGCGATGTTTCAGTGTCCAAAACGGAGTTCGCGTATGAAATGCTGTCCTTTGAGATGTCAAAAACTACCACTGCATCGTAAGCCAGGTTTTTCATTAAAAAAAAGGGAGCGCGTCAATTTTATTTTGGACCAATTTACATTTCAACCTTAAACCCTAATTTGGGAATTGCCAATAACCTTGTCGATGATTTCTAGCAAGCAAGAAGGTTGGAGATGCTTTTACCTTCATAGGAGACGGCCATATCTACATTTGAATATCCCAAAAGTCTATAAAGGGAATCCACATCTTCAGACGCCATCTTCTCACCGACCGTGGTGAGGATATGCTTAAGATCAGAAAGCTTAACCAGCCCGCTCCCTACGGCAATTGGTTCGGCGAGCAATTACCTTCTTTATCCAAAATCTTAAAGCAATTGATAAGATCGGAGCGGTCGGTGACTACATTGACGGAGGCGCGGTCCATGCCTGAGACGAAGGAAAGGAAACTCTCCTCATCAACCCATCCAGACCCTAATCTGGGAAGGGAACAGGTACATACCTAACGGATCGATCATTTTTTCAGTCTCCTTGATTTGGGCTTCAGAAGGAAAATTTCCCATTGCTCGTAAACAATCGCCCACTTTTGCCGTTGGGATTTTAAGGCCTTCGCCGCCGCCTTGGATGCTGAATATGGAAAACACCTCTTTAGCATCTATACATGAGAGGAGAAGAACACCATAAAGGTACCATAATAGTTCGGCGCCATTGATTAAAGAAATTTAAATTTCAATGTGTTAATTTTTAAAAACCGGCCAATTACAGGTGGTTGCATTGGGAGTACACTTGGTTTATTCTTCCCCTATGAGCGAGACTTTGGATCGCACCGAAATGATGGCACCACCAGTTAAATTTCCAAAAAAAAAGGTCGCATTGGTTCTAGCCTATTTAGGCACAAACTATCAGGGAATGCAAATGTATGTTGGGTGGCCTTTTATTTTAGAAATCCAAATGCCAAAACTATAGAGTCCGCCCTATTCAAGAGCTTGGTTGATTCGGAACTGGTTTCTGAGCTCAACTCCACGGACCAAAAGAAGGTTTGCTTGGGTTTCTTTCCGCTAGATTGGATTGATGAGAGCCTGTCGCACAGACAAGGGTGTCCATGCAGCCATGCAAGTGGTGTCTTTGAAGGTTATTTTTAAAGACCCCATTGCGAGCATCATGAGCTCAATCAATTCACATTTGCCCAAGGATATTAGGGTCTGTGGTATCCATCCGGTGAGCCAGACTTTCGACTCAAAGTTGCATTGTGATTCGAGATTTTACGAATATTTGCTGCCGACGTTTATGTTTAAATGCGACTCTTCCTTTGATTTGTCCTTTTTGGAGAACATGGCCGCAAAAAGGGACACTTTAGATGGCAAAAACGAGGCTGCAAGCGACGGTTCTGAATGTGAAGACAATGTTGCTGGAAATGAAGATCAAGCCTCGATGCAAAAACACAAGCTCGCCGCCGATTTCTATTCCAATAATTTTAAGCCTACTTTGGCCGACATTGAGCAGCTTTCGGCGTTTCGCCTATCTTCAAAGGAGAAAGACCGACTTGACGCCTTGCTAAAATGCTTTGAGGGCTCCCACTTTTTCCACAACTACACGATCAAAAAGTCGGCCGTAGATCCCAGTGCATGCAGGAAAATTATCTCCTTTTCGGTGGGTACTTTTTTGCTAACTTTCAGAGCTCGGATCCATTCGTTCTAAATAACAACTGCACCGATCGTGCCGACTTGACTTTGGCGTCCTCGGAGTGGATCAAATTGACCATCCACGGACAGTCTTTCATGCTGAACCAAATTAGAAAGCTCATTGGTATCCTTTGCCTCTTATCCCTAGGAATGGTGATCATGATTATGCGTCTCGATGTCCAGGATTATTCGATGGTCATTTCCAGGAGTCTTTCGAAATCCGAAAAAATGAATGTCCCAAAAGCCCCTGGCGTGGGTCTCTTGTTAGCTCAAGTATGAGTGTGCTTTTTACTTTAGGCGTGTTTTTCGCAATACAACAAACGTATTTCAGAGATAAATCCGCTATCCTATGATACCTATGCGCTCGAGATTGATTCCTTCAAGGAAAAGGAAATTTATCCTGCCATTGCCAGTGAAGAGTTTTCCAAAAACATATTCATGAATTGGTGGTGTGCTATCTCCCTGCATGCATATGATTTCCAGTATGTCCTACAACAGTGGACACCACCTGATTCTGAAGTATCGAAAAAAAAAATTAAAAAGGGCAAATACAGTGCCGATCAAGCATCTCAGAGCGAGCCCCCCAAGGTCGAGCAAAAGAATCCGGATCCCAGCATATCTCAATAATGAATAGAAATTATTTATTTAATAAAATTCACCTACTCCTTCGTATCTGATTTGCTTTTCTTGGATTTTTTGTTGGCCATCAGAGTATGCATGATATCCCATTCTTCTTGGGAGAGCACATTTGCATCCGCAGGCTTTGGAGCTTCCTTTGGCACATTTTCACGGTCAGATGGAGTATCGCTTTCTCCAGAATACTTGTTTTTGGAGCTGGTTTTGCTTCTTTTGGATTTTGAAACAGTTAGAGCCTCAGCATCCGCATGTTCGATAGATGACAATTGAAGTATTTCCGTCGATGGTGCTGAAATTTCTTCTTGATGCGACTGTGATTTATCCTTCTTTTTGGACGATTTCTTTTTGGCCGGGAATTCGTTTTCCTGAACTGCGGATGTAGCCTCCTCTATGACGGGCTCCATTTCATGAAGTTCTGATTCCTTAATCTCCAAAACCAGGTCCTTTTCCTCCTCGCAGGCAGACGAGGCTGCCAGGATTTCTTCTGCGAGCGGTGTGGGGAGGAACTTTTTTTTCCTTCTCTTTTGATCTCCATTGTACGCTTCGGGGAATTTAGCCTGGTTAATTTCCATGGCCTTCAAAGAATAGCCCTAGGGATTCTCGTATGGAAAATGCAAACCCTTTTTTTTTCATCCGATTCTTGCTTCCACAATTCAATGGCCTGGTTATAGATTTCTTTGGAACTTTGCCCTTCATGAGCTTTATCGAGCCTAGGCTTTACCTCTGAATAATAAATCGTAAATCCATTGACACGGCCCACCCGTTCTCTTGTAGAAGAAACCTCTGCATATTGTAAAGATAACCGATTACCTTTTATGGCTTTCTCGGCGCCGTTGGAGAGGGGGGTTTGGGATACACACTCAACATTTGAACATAGGATGTTGAAAATATTTTCAAAAGATTTTGAAATGCTTAGAAATTCATTCTTCAGTGCATGTACGGCCTCTTGTGTAAAAAATACATGGTTGCTGGAAGTGCCGGCACCCGCACCAGCTGTATTTTCCGCATCACTGCTTGACAACGCCGTTTGACCGGCTGATGGTTTTCTGGATGCTTTAGTCATGTTAATTAGTTAAAATTTAATTAATTGAATGTTTTTATTTAAACGTTAAAATGGGAAATCAAGTTGATTTGTGCATATTGAATCTCTTGGCGTAAAGTGAAGAGGTGCCGGCAAAGATTTCTGCTATTTCGTCATATAGGCCTCTCTCGAGATTTCTCACCGTATTGTACTCTCTCTGTGTTGCGGCTTCAACCAGCCATCGAATAGCAATGCCGTTCTGTCTATGGGGAGTCAATACTCTTGGCAGAGTTTGTTTGCGCCCCATCATGGATTTGTACTCCAATAGTGGCTTGACGCTATCAATGGCCAATTGGATTGGATTATCAATTTGATAGTCCAGCTTTAGCCTGGCATTCACTCTTGCAAGAATGGCATTCTGGCTTACTCCACCCTTGATCAACGACCCAAGAAAGTTGGGACACAAGCTGGTGGGTTTTGTAGCCACATGTCCCGTTTCTAATGCCGGGTTATAAAGCTTCCATATGGCGCGTACCTTTTTCGTTGCTAGCTATGTCCAAGTTTGGATCCGCTCTGGACAAACTTTCTGTGATCAGTATGCTTGCAGCCATTTCGTCTGCCACAAAATTCCTTTCTTGTTTGATAATTTCTCGCATCGGAATGTCCTTGGCTGCATAGAACCTCAAGCCAGCTCGAATATGACGGCTTCCCGCTATGCGGGGAAACGCCCTACCTGCCACCATTTGATTGTTAATTAAAAGGACGAATTTCAAGTGCTAATTAAAAGAACGAATTTCAAGTGCTAATTAAAAGGACGAATTTTAAATTGACAAATAAATTGATGTTGGTTACCTAATCGGCGCCATCCCAAAGGAGGGTTACCATAATTGGCGCGTAACTAGGGTGTAAAAGAAGCGAAATGTTATGATCAACACTCGAAACCAATATTTTTTACTGAACTATATGACTGCCAGTTGTGGATTTTCAATTCCAAATATTTGTAAATTAACGGAAAATATGAACTGTACATTAATTATGCTTGTGGCCATGGGCATGCTAACGGCGTGTATTTTGGGAGCCATGTATTATAACCAATCCAGGAAGCTTAAAAAAGGTACCGATGCGTTCGCTAAATTATGCAGATGATACTGTCGCCAAAAGACTTCGAAGTTCGAGGAAAGCGGCAAAAGAGAAAGTAAGTTTTGAATCCGACAACGAAGCATCTGATAAGTTGCCGAAAAAGAGCAAGCCAAAAAAGGCAACTACCGAATTGACTCGAAGCCAATCGCGAAGAAAATCTGCCGAAATAGCCAACCAAGCCATTGTGGAGGGTGCCGGTGGCATATCGACGCCACGCAAGGCCAAAGCCAAATCGGTCTCCAGTGCAAAGTAATTGTAATTGTAAGTAAATCGAACAAAGCCACCTATGCCCAATAGTGCCCCAATTACATTGAAATGTTGTATTCCTCACCACTGCTACGATCATCCGACTCGATGTCTTCATTCAGGTAGGAGAGATCAGAGGAGCAATCTGGATCTACCGGTACATACGTTTGATGCAGCAGCCTGAACAAAGTCTGTTCCAGGACAACCATGTCGATTTTGTATCGCTGCGAAGGATCCTCGGCGTAAATGTACTTCCAACCGAGCAGCGAATCACATCCTTTGCAAAAAACGTCGCAAACGATATGGATTCCTGTAAGTAGCTTTCTGCTCTCAGCTGTGCCGAAATGCACGTTCAATACTTTTCGAAATAAAAAGGCCTGACCAAGGGTGCCACTAAAAGAGCGAGAGACGACGTCTGTTGGCGTGGACAGGTGTGTCGAGCATTCGACACACTGAAACACATATCTTGAATCGATGTACTTTCTTAGCGGAATGCCCATTAAAAACACCGAAAGCCGAAGTGTAAAAAGAATGCATCATGCACTGAAATTAAAGTTTGCTAATGCAATGGAAATAGTTTATCGTGAAAATGCTTTTCTTTTCCTACTTGGAATGGGCGTGTAATCAGCTCTGTGTAAGACAGCAGCAAGGTGTTCATCATATGCCTTTTCAGGATCAACATTTCGGTCGTCCAGCATCGACATCAAATGCTGGTGATAAAAGGAGCGAGACAGAGAAAATCTACTCCACGAGCCAGAAAGGCCCTGGTAAAGCGATCTGAGTGCTTTTTGCTTTAAATCTTTGTAGCATTCAGATGAAAATTCAAGGCCGTCAAAGGTTGCGTCCCACAGCACCAAGGCGTCCTCGCTTGCCATGTGGTATGTTGGCTTTTCTGTGCTCTCAAACATATACTGTATTACCTAAAGGTCAACAGCATAGCGTCGTACCGAGGGCTCTTCATGCCCAGTTCCGATCAAAAACAGGATTCCCATCATACAGCGGACTTGATGATACAAAAAGCCCTTTCCCGTAACAATGAATACGTACTGCTTAAGAGACGAAATCGAACTAGCTTTGTCATCAAAAGCTGGCTTACTCTTGGAAGCACTCGACCGGCTCTATTTTGGACGCTATTATGGTTCTTTCAAAGAGCACGTTATCTTTTGATTTGTCGACTTTGCAAAAGTTTTTAAAATTGTGAATGCCCACATAAAGTGCGGCGGCTTCATTCATTTTCTAATTTGCATTACATACGATGCCACGTTACCTCGATGTCAAGATCTTCGGCCAGGAAATAATAATGGTACGTTCTGGAGGTGCAATTAAATCTAGCAATTTAGACACCCAAACCACACCGTGCGTCAAAGTCGGCTCCCACATCTTTCCATCCCAATATCCGGATGTCGCTTGGAAGAACCGAATTTAAGATCGACATGTAGGGCAGCTCCCTTTCCCTTTCTATGGTGGAAAATTGCACGCCAGACCCGCAATCAGAGTCGGCCTTTTCGACGGATCGAATGTTTAGCGATATAATTTGTTTAAACGCCGAAACACCCTTATCGGTTCGCCCGCATCTGGAATAGTTGCACGAATCCACACTTTCAATTAGCTTGGTCTTGATCAACGAGCCAAATAAATGATCCTATTTTGAAAAGGGCCTATCATGTACCTCAATCGTATTTACATTCGTATCTCTCTGCGTGGCCAATCCCTGAAATGAATGGCCAATGTAGCAAAGGTGCATTGCAACTTTCCGTCGTTTAAACGAAGAAAAGTCGAAAGCAGAGCGTTTGGTTTTATCGTGATAGCCGTTGCCCCTTTTTGATGGCAGTTTAGCCATCTTGGCTTGAAGTTCTCTAATGAGAACAATCAAGCACTCTTTGGATAAATTTTGTAAATTGGACATGAAATTTAAAAAAGTTTCCGTTTTTATGATTTGCTTTTATTCGATGCAGACTGCAAAGACCCCGTGAGACAGGGATTCTGCTGTCAGATACGAACCAAAGTGCTGTTTTAGCCAAAGCATCATGCTCAGCGTTGGAGATGTTATAGCGACAGACCCTTCCATGTGAGAGTATTCCGATACGAAATGCTCGACAAAGTTGATTACCGAGGGATCCTCCTTGAAGGATAGCAATTTTTCCTTTAAAATATCCCAAGCCCAGGGCTCACATGGGTTTTGTGCAAGAACATCGTTTTCAAGCCAAATGAAGATCGCCTCAAGACCTAATACCTTTCCCTCAAGCAAATGATCAATGACCACTTGAATATATTGGGGAGAAAGTTTCCAGAAAAACAAAAGATGTCTCAAAAATTCAATCTGGCTCTGCATGTCTAATGGAGAAATACCAAGAAGTTCAAGATATCTATTGGTTATTCCATCATAAGTACCTGTCAATGGCATTGATTGTATGCGAAAAGGATTTGGATCCATATAGGAGAACAGACTGGATGATGACTTTTCTTGGATTCGATATGGAGAACACATTGGCGGAAATGATGCCTTCAATCTCTGACACCGGGGTCTTTGATTTTATGCATTCCCCTAGTTTCCTGGAAAGAGCCAGCTCTTCCGGGCTTGCCGTGGTCGATGCCTCGGAAAATTCAAAACATGGCTCTGGCGATGGCTGTAAATAATTAACGAAAAATTCTGGAATGTTTGCTCTGATTTGTTCGTAGTATGATAGTCTATACTGTCATGCGGCTGAAAGGATACCTTATCATTTTGGAAAGCAGAGTCTGTAAAAAGAGGGCTTGAGACCCCACTTGTGGCTCGAGATTGAACCCTGTACTCATATTCTCCGAGAGGGTTTCCCTAACGTTGAGACAGTTTCTGAAATTACCATTGCATCCATTGGCTCCATTTATATTCAAACTGGCTAAAATGGTGCGCTAGCCAGCCACTTAGAATAACCAGTTGCGAGAATAAAAGTTCGTCAAGAGAGGTAAATAATCCAGTCACAATGGCACCAAGATATTCGCTGGCAACGTCACATATTGTCAGAATGTCTTTGATAAGCATCGTATAATAAACGGTTGGAAATGGAGGGGGTCGTGGGGCCGCTAGCATTTCCGAAAGGATGCACTACACGATAAAATGTCACCACAAATACACTAAGAGCAATTCTAGGGATGTCCGCAGATGGAAATGTGTGTTGAACATCGACGATGATAAAATCGGCACATTTGTGGTAGTTTTCATCAAACGCATTGATGATGTGAGTGACGATATCGGAAAGCAGCCAATGCTCCATGCAATCTCTTTTTATCGTAAACTTGGGGCTGCCATCATTTGTTCCATCAATAGTTTCAGACTCAGCATGCGGTTTACTGGCGTAGTCTTCGTCCACAGCCTTATGGGACATGTCTTGGTCGGTGATTCGAAACACTCTCCGAACATGAGGGAAGGTTTGTGTCTCTTTAGGCTCGTACAAAGCCCCAGCGTCAAGATTATGTGGCAAAGTGTGAGCATTTACAGAATCAGCGGGAGATGAAAATTCTTCTAAAATCACTTGATCAATCAGGTTATTCTGCAAGTAAGTAAAGTATGCAATACCGTCCAGTTGTCCATGTTTGTAAAGAACGAGTACAATTCCAAAAGAATGTCAAAAGAAAAAAACCGGGGAACACCGCTACCTGATTGTTCAAGACTTGGGGATGCTGATTTGATTTCCAACATTATGTTGCCAATGCGAACAAGAAGCGTTCGAAAGACGCCCTCATTTTGTCTCAGCAAAACCGATCCGTTCCAAAGGAAGGATGAAAGAATCGAATACAAAAAGTAAAATTTTGCTTTTTCCCTGGACGGGTCATTAGAACATTGTTCAATGAAATCAATCAACGGTTCAATTGAATGCAAAAAGGATAGATCATTGACAACATTGACGGTGACAAGATCGGCTAAAAATCGAAGAGAAAGAGTAAATTTCGACCAGCTTCCATTGGAAATAAATTTGTCCATTGAGTCAAGCAGCAGCGGGATAAACTTTTCGCTCACCATTGCCGGATCTTGTAGATTGAGAAGACCAACGATGGAGGAGTAGATCCTGGGCTTCCATGCCATTTCAGAAACACATTCAATGATGGTGGCAAGCAAAGCATCAAAATATGGCTTAGAAGATTCGGACAGCAAAACCTTTGCCAAATTACGAATATTATCAGATAAAGAAGAGGAGCTCTTTTGTCCGACAAGGAATATTAAATGATGCAGAGTATCCTCAGCAGACTGGGTTTCTCCGCCCTTGTTTCCATGAAATCGCTTGGAGTTTGAGCGTCGCTCCGAAGGGCCGTGCTTATGCTCTAAAATATAGGGAGTTATTGTACCGTATTCACTGTCATCAAAGCTTCGCTTGGAATTCATTGAAAATGAAAATGAAAATTTAGGGTTAATTGAAGGGCCTTATTTGAAAACAAGTTTCCGTAAATTTTCGTATCCTTGCTAATTAATTCTCCCTATATTTTAGAGCATA